CCGCGCCCCCCCAGCCCGCGTCCCCCCACCTTGTGCACCGCCTCCTCCGTCTTCTCGGGGTTGCTGCGGTACGCCTGCGCCACGTCGCTCATCGGCAAGGGCATCGACTTGAGGGTGTAATTCCTGCGAGGCAGCGCGGGGTGAGCGGGTGCTGCCGGACCCTTCGTCAGCCTCGCAGGGCTCATCCCCGCCGCGGGTTTCCCCAGAGACATAACATCGGTCCAGAGCCCACCCGACGGCAGCCCGGACATTGCCCCGAGGTCCAGCCCTGGAGATGGGGACAGCCAAACTCTGGCCGTCAGCAAACCCCGATGGGGCAGCAGCGACCACCCGCCCAGGGGCCAGGCTCTCCGTCCACCCCTCTTTCTTCAGACCTCCAGAGAACCTGCGTGGCCAAACAGCAGAGCTGAGGGCGTGCTTGGCAGGTGGACAACTTCTACCCATCTTTCGTGGGTAGGGAGAAGAGGAGCATCACGTCTCCACCCACACCAGATGCCCCCATGCTCGCTGGGGGCTGCCTTGGGTGACACAGGGCTGTGCTGGGTTGGGATGCAGAGCCCAGGGGAGACCCTGAGGTCTGTAACGAAGGTGCCATCACCGAATGGGTGGCAGGTTGCTTTGCTGGCTGCAAGGCCCCAGCTGTGGACCAACTCCCTTGGGACCTGTATGCAACTGTGTGATGCACTTGCTGCTTAAGGGGACAAGAGACCCCGGGGACGGTGACATCCTGGTGCCAGAGGGTCTTTTACATGGTGGTAGTGAGCCAGGAGGACCAAGCGGCTCCTTTCTTACCTCTCCAAAGCTTGAGCCACCTCCAGGAGCCCTTGGGCGGTTGTGTTGTTCCTGTCCCAAACCACGGTCCTGCAAAGAAAAGGACACGAGTGAGCCCTGCCTGCACCTACGCAGCCCTGGGGTGGGTGCCCACTCAGTGGGTGCCAGAAGGAGTCAGCCCAAGGCTGACCCCATGCACCAGAAAGCTTAGAAATGGGGTTAAAAATCTGAATCTCAATAAACCTAAACTTGGACTTTACAAGGAGCTGTAAAGTACGTGGGTGCGTGGAGGGAGTGAAGGGCAGGGAGGACACGGTCAGGCACCATCCTGCTGGCGGGGGCAGGCGTCCCTCCGAGGAACAGCCCTGGCTGGGAGACCTTTCCCTGTTCCCTGCAGACACCCTTGCCTTGCCTTTGCAGGCACAACGCGGTCAAAAAATGGCATTTTAGGAAGCGATGCCAGAGCGTGGGGTGAGGGCAGTGACTGCAAGGGTCCGGCTGCAGCATCCCGGGCTGCGCAGGAGCCTGGCAAAGAGCCGGCAAGTGCCGGGGCAGGGATTGAGCTGCTCTCTTGCCCTTCACGTGTCCCCTGCCAGCACTGCCAGATGACTGCCACGAGAGCAAGATACGGTCACGGCATCTGACCAGGCACCAGGAATGGTCCAGGGCCACACCCGTGGTCACCAGGAGCCATGATAAACCTCCTCTAATGGCACCAGCATCACAACCAGGACCACCGTATCAGGGTAACCCGCTGCAAGGTGGGAAGGGCACCCACAGGGTGACGTGGACCTCCTGCTACCTGAGTTTGGTGTTGATCTGCAGGGCCTTGGCTAGCATCTTGGCCCCCGTGTCCCCCATGGCGTTGCCGCTGATGTCCAGAGCGATGAGGCTGGTGTTACTGCCCAGGGCACTCAGCAGGACGTTGGTTCCCAGCTTGAGGCGCGATTCAGCCACGGACAGGGACTGGAGAGGCTAGAAAGGGGACAAGGAGGGGGAGAGGTGGCCAGGACACATGTTGGGATGTGTGTCACTCTTGCAGACACAGCCTCCATCCCCGTCCGGCAGCCGCTGGGCTGGCAGCTGCTGCGGGCACCCAGTGCTGGTTTTGGAGAGCTGAACCCCATGAAACAGGAGGGCAACGGGTGCTTAGGCAACACCCTGGATTTAGCTCAGATGCCTGGCAGGCAGCGAGGAGGAAAGAAGTTTTTTTTTTTTTTTTGGAAGCTGGGCTGCAGCCAGGTTACACCAAGCATCTCCTCCGTGCCTTTAGCCAGACACAGGCTCCCGCTTTCCCAGATGAAGGGGAACTGCTCTCACTTCTCTCTCTGAGCATCTGCTTCAGACGGAGGAAAATAAGAGCAGAAGGATTTGAACGGCAGTGGGAGGGAGGGGGGTTTGTTCCCAGCCCGTGCTGGGAGGGATCTGACGGCACCCCGGGACGGAGGCTGCAGGGTGGTGGTGGAGGGTGACCGAGAGCACGGGTGGGACAGTTGGGGGCAAGCAGGACTTACGCAGTCGTCCTCCTGGGTGAGCTGGACGATGCGGTGCAGGACGTCCAGCAGCCCTTCCCTGCGGGAGAGGTGGGGGGGTTGCACACACGTGCCCCGGGGCCGCAGGGGCAGCTGGCAGAGCTCCGTCCTCCCTCCTGCTCTTGCCTGAGGCTGTGACCCATCCCCGCAGCACCTGCGGTCCCATGGGGACCGTGCCAGGAGCAGGTGACGGTCCCCCCACGGCCCCAGGCTCCCCGGTTGGGTTGGAGCAGGCAGGACGGGCAGGTAATCCCTGGCATTCCCAACCAGCCCACGGGCTTTGGACGGGGGGAGAGAGTCGAGGTGGGTGCGTGGTGCCAGGATGGCTCCTGGCCTGGGTGCTGCAGCTTTGCACTTACTTGGATTTGATGTTGAAGTTTTTCCCCAGAGAGACGTGCCTAATGGACTTGCTTCTGCCGATGGAGAGCACCAGCGTTACCATGTTGGGGTCGAAGCCTGCGAGAGACAGGAGACACCCACCGGGATGCTTCAAGCGGTCCACAGAGGTGGCACCAAGGTGGTCCCTCACAGGAGACCTGCAGAGCCACCAAGCTGCCACCGTGGGATGGTGGAGAGATGCCCAAGGCAGCTCCTGAGCATCTTCCTCCGCTTCATGGCTCCCCCAAGGAGACCAAAGACCTGTGCAGAGCTGGGGTCCCTGAGGAGTGACCCCAGGGAAGGAGCACCCGCTCTGGGGACTCCTGCTGTTTGGGGTGCCAAGGCTGTGCTGAGCCACGGGGAGCACTTACGGAGCTAGAGACGGCACTTGCTTAGTGCTGTCCCGCAGGGATGTGCCCTCCATCACCCACCCACCGCCCTGGACAACATGGGAGGAGTTCTCACAGCTGCCTGCACTCGCATCCTCATGGCTGCAGCATCCCCAGGGAAATTTGGGAAGCAAAGGTGATGTCCTTCCCCCAGGGCAGGGATCTACTTGCCCAGCCGCTCTGCCAGCCAAGGGTAAGAGACACCAAGACCCACCTAGGGACTGCCCCTCCTGCGCGGAGCTGGGAAAGCCGAAAATAGAAGCATATTTTGGCAAAGGCTGGCCGGAGATTTTGGGTAAGAGAGCGAGCTTTTGGAACGCTGGTGGCCCGAAGAGGTTTTTGAAGGACTCCAAACCACGTCAGCTTTCCCAGAGCCATCTGGCTGTTGAGGAGCTGCATGGTCTACTATGAGATCGTAGCAAGGCTGCTTTAAGGTGTGGGGCCTTTTAGATGAAATTAAGAGCTGGCAGAAGTGATGTTTGTGATAATTAGGATTGCTCGCCCATGGCTTCGGAGGCCACGGCAGGACAAGGTTAGCAGCAGAGGCTGCAAACTCCTGCAGAGAGGTGGGAAGAGCTTCAGCCCAGGGAGACCTTTTCAATGCTTCAAACCCCGAGCTAGCAACGCAAGACCGTCTGGGATTCAGTGAGCTGAAGAGGCTTGTACCAAGAAAGATGCGAAACGAGAATTTTTGGCAGGTCCTGAGGCAGGAGGGGATGAAGAAGTCACCCCACACCCCGTGCTGGAGATGCTTTCTCTGAATGAGGGCCACCACCGCTGCCCACCATGGGATGCAACACTGGAAGGTGATGGAAGGAGGCCTGGCAGGCTGGGAAGGACATCAGCAGAGGGAGGAGAGCACATATGAGGACCACCTGCCTTGGGGAAGGCAGAGGGGTTCTTGGTTTTGGGGTTAAAAAGCCATAAAAGCCTGACGAGGTGGTAATTTCTCAGGCAGGAATCCACCGCTTGCCGTGGGGTGCCTTCATCCCCATGAGACACAGCCATCAGTGCTGCAGTTTCTGCTGCTGAAGGACTTTTACAGGTGACAAGCGCAGTTTAATGTTGCATTAGTCAGCGCGGTCAAGAGGCAGGGAAGCGCAGCAGACCCTACCCATCTCCCTGGGGACTCCTACAAGCTCACGAGGGGCTGGGGCTGAGTTGGCCTCTGCCAAACAGCCCGCGGTGGCTGGACCTGCAGATGGAGGGAGATCTTCTCCCAGGCGGGGAAAAAGCAACCTACCGTTGTCAGACAAGTCCAGGTCGCTGATGGAGCTGGCGTCGGGGATGAGATCCTGGATGACTTGGGCCCCCGCTGATCTCAGCTTGGAAGAAACAGCAAGACATCAGGACAAGGGAGGCACCGAGCCCTGCAAACGCGATCCTGACATCGGGAAGGTCACCCCAGCCCCACGGACCTTCCCGCACAGGCAGCTAGCCCCCTCGAAGGCCGCAGTGGGACCCCGTGGCTGGACTGATGGCACCCATGGGTGCTGGCGCCTCACCTCGCAGTTGCTAAGATCCAGGCGCAGGTCACTGATGTGACTGTTGTCTGCCAGCCCTTGCAGCAACGCCCTGGAAAAGTCACCAAAGCCACCCATCGGTGTGAGCAACGGGGGCACCACCCACCCTCCCAATGGCCCAGGCAGTGGGAGCGGGGTGCTGGAGAAGACATCCTTCCCAGAGCTCTGCCTCTCACAGCCCCATCCACGGTTTGGTGGGTATGGCAGTGCTGGGTTGACGGTTGGACTCGATGATCTCAGAGGGCTTTTCCAACCTTAATGATTCTATGATTCTCTCTCTATATATATATGCAAGACAGAGCTGGAAGGTGGAGC